GAAGCAGCACATTTCACGCGTCCTGTGAAATCTGCAGCTCGGTTTCAATTCGAAAATATCATCGATAATAATCATACCACTTGTTATATTATGGGTGACAATACAATTCATTATAATTAGAACCAATAAAATGCCAGTATTTTATCACAGCGACAATATTTTGTATCACCTTGTTTACACGTTGCTAAGGATTTTGACACTCTTCTTGATTTGACATTTGTTGACATTTAAATACTGTGTTTATTAAATGATTAAAATAATTATTTATAAACTCTAAAAGATCGATGGATTGGTGTAAACGATAATAAAATTAAGGTAAGTCTGAATAAAAAAGGTTTATTAAAGTCTTTTTATATTTTAAAGAACATTTTAATTTCAAATGTCAAACTGAAAATTCGTTAAATCCTAAAATTCATTATATTTTCTCACTAAATATAACTCGTGGTATGATTAATTATCGATGATATTTACTCATTGAAACCGAAGCAGCATATTTCACGAGTCCGCAGGACGGTTTTTATTTGAAAATATCATCGATGATAATCATACCACTTGTTATATTGTGGGTGAGAATTTAACAGAAAAAACTTTTTCCAATAAAAATAACACAGCCAAGAACTTAGATTTATCCAATATTTTGCTTAATATATTTTTGGGAATGATTTCCTCGAAGATTTTTCGATGTTCCCTAGATAAGGACAACGCTAGTGCGTGCGAAATTTATATGTCTTGTTTTATAAGCCTTGTAATCGCTTTTATACAATCACAATAATAAGAAAAATATTGTTTGTTTTCAAAACATTTATAGTAGTAAAAGTATGTCCAACAAGGTATAAAATACACTTACTGGCAAAAAAACGGCCACCAGAAATTGGCAACAATTTTAATGTTGATATCCTCGCGAACCGCTCATCTGATTTGTATGATTTTTTTAAAATGTACTCTTCAGTAACGGTGACTATGGTATACATTTTAATTTTGATGTTTATTTTAGCAAAAACAGGGTGCAAAAGTAAGCCTTGAAATTTGTAACCATGTGCTGTTATTGCTAAAGCACCCCATGGGGGCATTAGCAATAGAAGCGGATGTCAATCTAAATCATACTATACTCTCTAAAAATGAAATAGTCAAAATTCTACTATTTGAATTAGTACCAGCATTTTTTACTAATAAAATAGTCGTTTTCACTTTTAAATAGTTATTTTTTACTACGTAAATAGTTAAAGTTTGACTAATTTAAGATTAGTCATCATATTTGACTATTTCTGACAGTTAAAAGTAACTAATTTCTTTAATCGTTTACGGCCAACAACAAAGTATTATTTGAATTAAATGCATATACCTCTCCATGGTTCAATGACCCATAAAACAAATAAAGATGCAAAAGTTTAGCTCAAAACAGCAACACAAATAATATATTAAACTTTAAAATATTATTAACAATATTTATTGACAAATAAAATTAATTTTTATAAGAGCGGCTGACAGTCGAATGCGTTATGAGGTTAGCTTGACAAACTTGTCAAGTGACAGAACTGAGTTCAATCCCAGGCTGGGTCAAAACTTTTTTAAATTTAAATTTACTAATTTGAATATTTCATTCAGTGGAATTTGATACATATTAGTGACTGCTTTTTCGCTATGACAATTAGTCAAATTTGACTTATAATTAGTTATTTTTGACTAATTCATTTTAAGAGAGTAGTATATATAGTCCTTTCTTTTCTAAACATTTTGGTTTTTTCACGTTATTATCTGTGTTATTAAATAAGGTACAATGTTTTATAGCCAACTCCTCAGATAAAATATTGACATCCGCTGTTCTTACTGATACACAAGTAGTCACAACTTTCGGGAAAAAACTTCTTCTTACATTTGCTTAAATTAATTATTTTACGATAGCATTGTTACTGAAGTCAACCTACAATTTAAATACAAAATTATGAAAATCAGATGAGCGGTTCGCTAGAAAATCAAAATTAAAATTGTGGCCAATTTCTGGTAGGCGGATTTTTTGCCGTGTGCAAGTGTATAATGATTATTTATGATTTCGATTAAGACTATGATTATTTAAATGTTGATTTTGTGAGTCAATTAAATTAAATTCTCATTTAGTAAGTTTCTAAATTATAATTTTCAAAATGTTTCAAGCTCACCTAAATAATATTAATTTTTTCAAAATTTATTATATAAATTAAATTAAATGTTTAAATTATGTTAAATAAAAACAAGATAGATATTTTTAAACACATCCTTATAAGTCGTATTTTACACCAGGATCCAAGAGATAAAGCAAAGTTGGAACCACATCTTTAAATAAATACACTGGACGAAACAAATTAAATAAACCAGAAACCATCAGAAAGATAAATTGACCCCAACAATTTATTTGTCCAATGAAACAAAAACAATTTAATTAATAATTATTATAATCAGCAAATCATTTATGCTTGTTTTTGGTAAACTAAGATCTGTTTTATCTTCAAACATTTATATAGTTCTGGAATCATTAATTAATACCCTCTGAGCACCAACATTTTTTGACAGCATCGGATACCAATTTCCACAAAATAGGAATATCGAAAATTCCTCTTACATCTAAACACACCCAATATAATTTACTTTTATAAATATTTTTAAAGGGGCCCCCTCATTTTGATCTGGCAAGCTCTGGTCCTGGGTAGAGTAGTTATTTATATGATGATGAATATCTCCCAAACCTGACTTGATAACGCAATTATGAGATCAGATTTGATTTTATCATAAACCTTTGAAAAGTATAGTCTGGTTTTTCGGTTTAAGGGGTTAGTTAAATTTTGTCAGTGTGTAATACTTAAAGGTGTTGAAAAAATGTTTAATTATATTTTGAATTATTAAAACATTTGAAATTTATAAAAAAAATTTGTTTACTTTGGTTTTATGAAATCATTAGGAAATTTGTCTGAGCACTTACTACACTGCGCGTCAAAATTAACGAATAATAAGTAAAAAATTCTAACTCTAAAACGCCTTTACCAATCTTTATGAAATTTTGTATAAGAATACTTTAACTTATATCTCAGTTTCCGTGTTTGAGGGTTTTTCGAGAAAATATCTTTTATTTAATATTAAAAAAACGCTCAAAAAAAAACTTTTATAGGGAATTTTTTTTAAGTAAATAAAAAATATGCTGTTAAAGACCGTATTTTTGTTAGTATACCCTGAAAATTTTGTTCAAATCTAACGAACAGTAACAAAGATACACCGCTTCAAAGTCGGTAAAAATGACAACTTTTTGATTAAGTAGAGTAGTTCTTCAGCGGGACCTACTGTTTAACGTGGAATCCGAACCACGGTCCTCGCATAGTCGCCTAACCCACTGCGCTACCCGTGGTGCCACTTTTTGATTATTTTTCTGAAAAGTGGTCATTTTTGAAGCACTGTTCGTTTGATTTGTACAAAATTTTCAGGGTATACTAACAAAAATACGGCCTTTAACAGCATGATTTTTAATTACTTAAAAATAATCCCTATAAAAGTTTTTTTAATATTAAATAAAAGGGCTTTAAGGATATTTTTTCAAAAAACCCTTGAACACGTAAACTAAGATATAAGTATTTTTATCCAAAATTTTATAAAGATTGGTAAAGGCGTTTTAGAGTTAGAATTTTTTTACTTATTATGCGTTAATTTTGACGGGCAGTGTAAAAGAAATCAAAAAAATGTAGAATGGCAAAAACACAATTCAAATAAGGTTGTATAAAAAAATACATCTTGTTTAAGTAAAAAGTAAAACTATGTAAAAACTTTCGAACTAGAGTAACGAATTAAAACAACATTTTCTGGAAAGTTCTGTCCATCTTAGTTTGCGGTAATTTAAGATATTACAAACTTTAGTGTTTACCAGCAAGATCAAATATCTATTACCAATGGGGTAGTTAAATTTTTTCTGACCTATACTTTTTATGGTTTTATTCAAGGCGTTCTGTAATTTTAAACATTTCTGTGAAATCGGAATTTCAATTGAGTTTACCGTTTTCGAGATATTTACAAAAAAAATCTCCTAATTACTAGGCTATTGACAACGTTGCCAGCTTTTTCTATGGTTGCCAGTGTGTTTAGTTTAAGATTCTTACGATAGATGGCGCCACGTTATAATATTTTAGTTGAGAAGAAGAAGAATTGATTTTTTGACGTTTCTTTTTTTCGGGTTATGTTTTTTTTTAAATTTAGATTATTGAAAATCAATGTTATTGTTATGTTATTTGTAATTAATATTAGATAAGTGATTTATTACTCCAAAGCAGAGGAATCTTGTGGAATGGTTGGTTACATTGAACATTGGAGCTTTTAAACAAATAAAGTAAGTACCTATAATTATAATCATATTTTGTCGTAAATGCATTTCATTAGTATAATGCCTAGTTCTTTATATTCTTTTAGATATATCTTGGACTCTAAAATATCAAACAGTAATATGATACCTCGTAATAAGGAAGATAGGTACTTAATGAATTTGGTGACCATCTTTCACTCAACTGACAGTGACAGTATTTGTACATAACCTCTTCGGGTATTTTCTGACATAACCGAATGAAATCATTAACAAGACAACTTGACAACAGGGTAATTTTCAACCAATAGAAATCTTAGAATGTTGGTCACATGGCGAGGTTTGTGACGTCATAAAAATTTATATTTTTTGTAAATATCTCGAAAACGGTAAACTCAATTGAAATTCTGATTTCACAGAAATGTTTAATATTACAAAACGCCTTGAATAAAACCATAAAAAGTATAGGTCAGAAAAAATTTAACTACCCCATTATGAAAAAAACAAGCCTTAACCCATTCTTAAAATGTTTTTATTTTAGTTGTTCATGAATCAAACTGACGATATATTTTATAAAATCTTAATATAATAATAATAATGTTAATAAAAGACATAGTATGTGTAAAGCAGCCTGATTAGATCCCGACACCCATGGTGACAACATACGTTGTCTACGTGGATACCATACCTGTGTGAGAAGACGATGGGTGTCTGGTTGGAATTGACTCGGTCAATAAGCGTTGGCTCCTTGCTGGCCGCCGACGATCCCGACACAAAACTAAAAGCCCTCTTGACCCCGTCCAGCAGTCCGAGGGCGGCGGACGTCGGCGGCGGCTCGACCGCCCCCGGCACGGTGGTGGTGGAGCGATAGACGTCGCTCGAACCTGTCAGGGAACGGTATGAGCCGGGCATCGCGATGCCTAGCACACCACCAGCAGCTCTATGTTGCCATTACATCAAAAACGTTTACGTCATTCGAATTCGTACACATTACACAAGCGATTCAGTCCAATTTCACTCTTATCACATTTTTATTTAATTAAATAAATATTATTCTTTTACATTTTTTATAGGTGAGCATAGAGATAATAAAATAAATATTATTCTTTTACATTTTTTATAGGTGAGCATAGAGATGCGACTTGAAAAAAACGGACCGTTTTTTTTGTTTTTTTTTCATTGTTTTTTTTTCACATTTTAGGTTTTTTTTCAAGATTAGTCCCATTTGCCTAATTTTTTATGTTTCCATGGACTAAAATTAGCCACTAAATGACAATTAGTAAATGTAAATACAGTCTCGCGCTATGCACGCGCCACAACTACCGATTTGACCAATAAGGGCTGCGCTTGTTTTGATTTGGTTATAAAAAAGTAACTACATGTATTTTTGATTCAGCGCTTGATTTTTCAAAAAGCTACTAAAAGCACTTTTTTCATGATTTTTCAAATTCATGTACAGTATGGAATTTTTTTTTTCAAAAAAACAATAGCAAATTCTTGTAGAACATTTATTCATTGGTGGTTAAGTCAGAACATTCCGTTGACCAAAAAAGAAAGCAAAAAAAATCGATTTTTTTATTACGGTATTCGTTAGGATTGAGCGTTGCACTTTTTTCATCTAAAAATTCCAAAACTAGAAACTTCAAGCTTCAAATTGCTTTTTTTACGGCTCCAATACGATCATTTTTAACAAGATACAGTTATCCGAAAAATCGAAAAAAAAAATTATCCTTTAATTTTTTGTTTTAGTGTATGAGTTTTACATTGCTATTGGTTTCTAATGTGGAAACTACCAATTTTTTATATAAAATTTGAAATTTGTTCCACCAATTAAATTTATATTATATTTATTAATAATAATATTTATTGATCAAAATTTCATTTTGAAAAAAACAAAAAAAAACCGTTTTTTTTTTAGGTTTTTTTTCATGTTTTTTTTCACATCTGAAAAAAACCGTTTTTTACATCTGCATTTTAAGCTTTTCCAGTAGATATTTGGTATGTTATCCATTATTTAACGTAGTAAAGTAAAGATTTCACAAATATTTTACCAGAAAACTGCCCACTGCCTACAAATTGCTTATAAGCAATATATAAATATGTGTCTAACTGGATTTTAAAAAAATTAAACTTGAATAACCATATCTTTTAAGTTTTAAAATAAGAATTGACTAAGAGGTTTGCTGAAATTATTGTATCATTTTGAAAAGGAAAAACTATTGTTAAAATTTGATGGGATATTTTAGGTTAATATTTAATATTGCTCATAAAGAAAGTAACAATAATAATTTAAAAACAAAAATATTTGTGAGACAAAACATAAGTTAATATAAATTAAGAAAATAGTAAATTATCTAACAGGCGGAGAAAGCGCTTATATTAAAGACTAGCCCAGTGATGCCGAGGCTGCAGATCTGAGCGAGGCAGTTAAAATTATTCTCCGCCGTGTTGTATATACTATTTTTTTAAAGCGTTTAATAATTCTGTACTTGTAATTCCTCAGTTTTCCACATTTTGTAATAAGTAGATAATATTTACCTTTTAAATTATACGTTAATTGTATGAATTTATTCTTTAGTGACCTGTAATTACAGTAACCTACACTGATTTATTTTCATAATTGTACCGTGGTGTATAATAATTTGAATTTGAAATGCGTATAAATAAAATGAACAAAAAGATCGCAATTTATTTTTACATTTATTTTTACAGTTTTTTCTTTATTATAAAATATATATGTATATATAAATACATTGTTACTATACTTTAACAAGGGTTCATACATCATATTCGATGTTTTAAATAAGGGTTTTTTGTAATTTCATTGATTGCTTATTGACTTTACCAATTTATGTTTTATCTCAACCAAGAAGATTATTATTTTCATCGCACCAAAACACATGAAAACAATTTTAACAATTAACAACAAGTAAAACATTTGCCATTTAAATTTTTTTCTATGGAAAAAACTATACTGCCATACACGTTTATTATACATTTACTACCTGTACTATACATATAAGATCCATTATGATACAATTTTTTTATTAAGATACAGATTTTTAACCGATAGAAATGCGATACACGGCATAATGATTATTCTGCTAATATCAACTAGGTAATGCCTTTAGGATCTGAGAGATCCAATATTTACTAATTTTGATAAGTAATAACTTAAGTCAGTATTTTTTTAAGTTAAAATTAGTAAACATGTGCGATAGTGAATGTAAAATTAAAAATTTAACCCCGCTAGAAATTGCAACAGGCAGCAAAATCCGCAAAATCAGCAAAAAGGTATAAACAATTTCAGAATTAAAGTGTTAATTTTCTACTTTGTATGAAATATCTGTGGTGTAAAGAGTAATCCTAAAATGGTGTCAAAATACAACACCAAGTGGTGTTAATATAAACACAATAAATTATGGTTGAAACTGTTATATACAGCAAACACCAAAACAGTGTTAATCTAAAAATATTTGAGAAGTCCACCTACACAGAAAAAAAGGTATAGTTCATTTAACTATATTAATTTAGTTCACCCATAAGTATTTATTTAAATCAAATGTACTAAACCAGATAGTTCTTTTTTTTTTAATTGGTTAAATTAACCCAGAAAACTTTAGTGAAACCAACCCGCTGTATGGTTCAGTTTACTAAATATGTTGTGTGTAAAATAAGAATTATTTCAACCTAAAGCACTCTGTTAAAACGATTAAAACGATTTGTCGTGCATTCCTGGTTGCATAGTGTGTACCGATCGCGGCAAAGGCGATGTGGATCACGTGATGTTCTTAAATCTCGCCTCTGATGACTTACATGAAGAGTATATAAGCTCAGGTAGTCCTTTGCTTTGGTGTGACACTACAAGTTGTTTGATACTAAAGAGAGCTTAAATAGGTAGAAACAGCTGTCAATACTTGTTGGTTGAACGCACTAAAAACATTATCTCTAGCGAGTTGAAGGTTTAATTTTCTGGAATAATACCACTGGTAATATACTAGTAATGCGTCAAGGAACTTCCTGTTTCCCTTTTTTTCCTTTTTTCTGTGTAGTATGATTTAATTTGACCAAAAACACATAATATTTAACACTGAAAAGGAGTTTAATTTACACCAGGTAAAATACTGTGTGAAAGTTAAATTTACACTACTTTTGTATTTGAATTTACACCGGACCAACGAACCATATTTAAGACCATTTTGGTTTGTATCGATATAGACCATGTATGGTGTTAATTTGATGTTAAAATGGTCATGAAATTTTGAACAGTGTAATGATATAAAATAGTGTATGCAACTCCCATTTGGGCTATTAAGAAACTCGCACTCATTATGACATTTGCATCCGGCTATGACATAATTATTATACTCATGCCTTCTAATTTAATCGTTGTTAATTTTTAAAATTGCTTTGATGGTTATTAAATATAGTATAAATACCGGAGAAGTACTTGGGGGAAAGCCAAAAAACGTACTTTATTAGCAGCCTATATATAGGCTGGGTAATTTACATCCTTATAAGGATGTAAATTACCCAGCCAGCACGGCTTATCCATATATGCCTATAGGCTTACTTCTTCTTTATTTAGTCTTAGTCTTTATTTAGTCTTCTTGATCCAAACTGTCAAATTTTTGTATCGATTTTTGTTTATTATTTATAAATATATAATAAAAAATATGAATCATTCATTGTTACAATTATTAAAATTATCTGGAAATTGATTGGCCATTAAATCGATTAATCATCCCCCCTAGAGCTGAGGTAAAAAAGATTGAAACAGTAGAATTTTTATTTTTAAATTTGATATGAAAGTTCCCATTTTTGCATTTTTTTAAACTTTATTAATTGATTAACGTATCCTATAAGGTATACATATAATATATATTATACATACATATCCTTACAACCCTTGCATCAAATCCTAAGATAATAAAAAGATATACATTATGTAATTTATATTTTACTTTTCTTCCTTATTTTGGATCACACATGTTATAATTATAAATATTATAAATAATATTATAAATAATATTATAAATATTGCCAAGCAAAAGATAATCATCGTTTCTGCCCGTATTTGATATTATTTTTTAGACAAGAAAACGTTTGAATTAAATTATTTAAAAAAAAAAACGTCTTGTTGAAAACTATCATTGTATTCGACAGAATTTTAAATATGATTTCTCGATCAATCATCAATACGTTGTCTCCTTCTGCAGGTGCAAGAGCGAATTAAAAAATTTAGGAGTAGGTATTCCCTTTTTTAATTTATATATAAATAATTAAGGTATGTCTGTAGAACATCAAGTAATAAAAGACAGAAATGCATTAAATTTCTTCGATAAAGCATTAAAGAAAAAAAATCCTAGGAAAAACTTTTCCAATTAAATAAAATACACATGTTGTGCGCAAATAATAAAAATATTGAATAGTATTTAATATTTTTATGATTCAATGAATACCAATAGGTATTTAGGCCCAGTTGTATAAAAGTCCGATTAACAACAGATTAATAAATTACGGATTAATCAATAATAGCTGGTTAAAGAAAATTTTGTTGTGCAACACTCGGTTATGTTTTAATTAGTTAATTTTCAAATTTAGGGGAATTCACTAAAAAATCACCAAATTTTCGTATTTGTCATGTCATAATTTTCGTAATTGTCAAATTAACCATGTCCTCAAATTAATATTAATAATTTTTGTTGTTTAGGAAGATTTCAGTAAGTATATTGGTATTTATTTATTTATTGCATACATTAATGTGCAATTGTAAGTAGCTTTAATTACATTTCTTCTTGCAGGTGTGTTTTGTGTTTTTGGGTAAAGGTTTTAATATTTTGTACAAAATATACAAAAAAATGGCTTTAGCATAGGCTTGTTGGTCAAAAATGAAAGATTGTGGTAATAGGGTATCTAACTTTAGTGGAAAAAAAATCTTGGCTATTGCTTTGAATAGGTAGTAAAAAATATAAAAACATTGTAGAATGCAAAATGAACGCCTTACCAAAAATCGTAAAGTTAATTCAATCATTTGCTTAAAAGAAAGCGCTTATTTGTATTAGTTCCTAAAGAAATTATGGCTGATATTTCTTTATTTCTAAAAGTTATAATATTTTTTGAATGACGAAATCTGTTTCTGTATTCTTCTATATTTAAATCTGTAAAATATTCAGGTCTAGCACGAAAGTTTCGGTTTTCTAGAAAAAATAATAATTTCTACTAATTATAAAAAAAATCTTCATCATCCGTTAAATGTTCTACCATTTTAATGCTAACCACAGATAAAAACTAACAAAAAAATAATGAAAATTTTTAAACGTTGACATTTATAAGGTTATGTGTGTTCTAACCCGTCGTTAACCACACAAAATTCACCGATTTGTTAATTGTACGTTAATCACTTAATTAAATTTGAATCAATGTTTATACAACTTAAAAGTTAGCTTAATCATTACATAATTATTATCAAGAGTTAACCAGCTGTTTACCAACTGTTATACAACTGGGCCTTAATAGTTTAAACGATAAAAAGAATATAAATTATTATATATGGTAACAATTTTAAAAAATTTAAGGAAATTGTAAAAATATAAAAAAATAAAAGTATTTTATGGATAAATAAAAATAAAATGTACATACATACATTTCATTAAATTTCTTATCCACGTACTGAAAATTGATGCACTCTAAAACAAATGCATCTAACGCCAATGTGGAAATTTTGACCTAGTAACCTATATACAGTGTATAATATACACCTTTCGGATTTATTATTAAAATAATTTATTATCAAATGCATATTAATAATAACAACTGAAAAGTGGCTAAATTATTAACGACTCCTGGTTAAATTAAATTTAAACTTTTTTTAACATCAACTGACTTGTGATATTGAATATTTTATGAAAACAACATGAAGTTTAATGCAAAAAAACTTATTGGACGATAAAACCCCTTTATTTTGCATAATAACTATATATTTATACCTAAAGGCAAATTCTGTTAAAATTACCTTTATAATTAATTTAATAGTAAAAAGAATCTTATACATATTTGAAATTTTATTAAAATTGGCATAGTTCCAATGGAAAAATCGAAACACTAAATTGGACATAACAGAACATGAAATGGCCCAAAATGAGTTTATTACGATTATTTTTAAATTAAAAAACATTTAAATGCATTATAATGTTTTAGCTACACGTAAATTTAAATTATATAGTAGTAGATGTATCTGGTAATTGTTTACATTTATTGTTAACAAACAAATCAGGTGCTTTTTCTATATGAAATTCAAAATTCTTTATTGCTTGATACTATTACAAAATTTATAAAACAAAAAATAATTGAGTGAAATTGGACCAAAATTGAGCATGCATTCATTATTGAAGCAATAAAGCTTGAAAATAAATGTTTAAAAATGCGTGCAAGTTTTTGTTTATTTAGGATGTTTATCATTACCCATATAAATAAGGAAACAAAATTAAGACAATTCATAAATTGAATAATTGTCTTTAGTAATGCGTCATATTTTTGTAAATTCAGACCTACTCTATTATACCTCTGGAAGGTGTTTAGTTTAATATTAAATAAAAACACTCAAATTAATAAATCTATTGAATAAGCACCTAGGTATTATTGATTTTTCCCTTTTCTTGCAACGTGTATGACAACACCCTAAATTTACATAAATTATTGTAGAATAATGATTTGTAAGGTTTTTCTCACATCAATTTTACTTACCTTGAAGAATATGGTGTTATTTATTATTAACAATTAAATCAACAAAACTCTTTCTTTAAAACACACTGCTCTGACGTTTCTACGATCTAAAACTGTTGTAATACAAAATCAGTTACCATTGGTTGCTAAGTAGTCACGTGACTCTATATTTTATTTCATTCGCCACCAGTGGCATACCACTGAATTTTTTAACATTTATTTCACGATTTAAACACCCAAAAAAAGTTTTTCAACCAGTAAAATTATTTTTTTAATTCATAAATATATTTCTTTGATATTCTTTTCAAAAGTATATTTTGTCGTGTCATAACCAGCTACAAAACATTCATTAATTTTTTCGTTACGAGTCGACCTTGAGTTAGCCGTTAATACCCGAAATTCCACGAAATATTGATCGAAAAGACAAACCAAGTGCGTAGGGCTGCCCTCTTTAGTTTTCTCAACATATGTTTTACAGATTACTACACGCGCATGAATACTTAACATTACTGATTGAATAGATGGCGCACCGATCTTAAAACCAGACCAGACGCTTCGGTTGTTTCGAAGGACCAAAATATAATTACTCCGCTGATTAATCTTCACATCAGACTCAATAATGAAAACAACAATAAGTTGAGATTTGTGTACCTCTGTAATATAACAAACATTAAATTAAAGCACCTCCGGTACCTAATCTTTAATTTTATTTTTACATATCAAGTTTTTTTAAATTTGTTAACAAAATTAAAGAAAATCAGAGGCGCCTAAACACTAACAAATTAATTTTGTTAAACAATACCTACCTAACAACTAATTTTAAATTTATAACAAGTAGATCAATTATTGGTAACAAACTGCCCTCCATCAGGAAAGATATTCTGTAGGTTATATCCTCACCCGAAAATTGTTCTTCTACATACATTAAAATGTGTCTAAAATCCTAAAATCATGTCTTAATAACAAAATTATTAATGTAGGTATCTTGTTCAAAATCTTTGTACCTATATGTATCTATTTTTAATTTAAAGAACACACAATTAATAAATCTAAAATATAATTTATTTGAAACCTTACCAGTGGTAAGTTGAACTAACTTAGTTCCCACTACAGAAGAACCGCATTTCTTGAATTGATTGGTGTTGCTGTCCCCCTTTTGCTTGCATGGCGAATAAGTATGGGGGAAATATTCAGTATAAAATTTCGTAGAAAATTAATTTAAAAATGTTAATTTTTATTCAATAAATAGGCCAAAAGAATATAGAATTGTAGAATTTTATGAGGAAAAATAATTAAAAAAACTGTTATAAATTTAAAGAGGGGATAGTAATAGAAACAAAGGATAAAAAAGTTAAAGTGTTAAAGTATGTTAAAGAAAATTAGGAAAACCCATTATTTTAAATTAAGAATTAAATTTAATTAAAAAACTTTTGATTGAATATATAATTATTAATATTGATGGCAAGAGCGACTGTAGATAGAATCTTTGGATCTATATCAGTCCGTGTTTGATGTCTATGTTGTGGTGTCGTCTGAATGTCGCGGACGATATGTATATTTTGTAAGGTTAAACTGGAATTTTGAATATTAATTTCGTAGAATTTATTAGCCAAATTTAGTAGGTTTAATATATTGGATGCCCGTCATAAAGAACTACTCACATGTGCGCCGCAAATATAATAATAATATTAATAATAATAATAAACTCTCATTTAAACCTTTCTCCAAACTTTTCAGTTAGAAGTTACAATTGCAGGGGGGCACGCCCCCTACCTTTAGCTGGCGGCGCCCATGCATCTCATAAGACGTTTTCTCGTACTCGTTCTCTACAAATTGACATATGCGTTTTTAAAAATAGTTCTTTGAAATTAATAAAAAAATATTTGAAAGAATAAGAAGCAATAGTTATTATAAAATCGTTGATTGATAAAATATTGTTACATTTTTTCCTAACCAATTATAAATTTTACGGAATTTAAACATTAAAAATTAAAAAAACTCCAAATTAAAAAAAGTTATGTGGCCCATGGGGGGATCGAACCCGCGACCTTCGCGTTATTAGCACGACGCTCTAACCAACTGAGCTAATGGGCCAGATACAAAATATGAAAAACATATCGTATTTATTTACTTATTCTGAGACTTTACTATAAATTGCACGAAAATCAGAATTATGCATTCATAATAATATTAAATAAAAAATACAAAAATTTTATAATGAATTATATATTTTAAATCAAATTAATGCATTAATGCGAAATGAAAACGCTAGTAAAAGATATTCATCTGGCCCATTAGCTCAGTTGGTTAGAGCGTCGTGCTAATAACGCGAAGGTCGCGGGTTCGATCCCCCCATGGGCCACATGCTTTTTATAAAATCAATTAACACCGACATACAAAGAATTAAAATGTCTAGTGCGAAGACGGCACTGAACTATACAACCACATGGAAGGCCACTCACATAGGCTGCGCGAGAAAATTTTACGCCAAATAGAAGAAATCCTTAAGGGTCAGATTCGCAAAGCCGTATCTCCCCACGCATGCGCAAATAGTGGTAAACAACAAAAGTTGTAACGGTTTTTTCATAACCTTATTTGTTCTATGCTATTCGTATTTGTGTTTATTTCGATTATCTTTTGTGCTTATCCTGTACGCAGTATCGCGCCTGCGTCGGGAGATACGGTGCGCGAAGTTCTATTTGGCGTAAACAGCAATTATATGAATATCATTCCAGGTGGTTGTATAGTTCAGTGGAAGACGGCCACTAATTAAGTCCGGAAACTTTTAAAAGACAAAAATTTACGAAAAAATTACCAATAAATTCTGTATTTTGAAAACCACTTACTTTTTTAAAAAATCCAAAAACAGGTCAATTTATAAATTTACCTGGGTAAATTGTAGTAAATCTTAAAAATATAAGATGTTTATGTAACCAAACCAACTAATATTGAAGATCTTAAAGAGAGTATCCGACACGAAACTTCTTTAATATTACCTGAGATGTTGGAAAAGGTTAAAAATGAATTTTATAATCGTCTAGGATTTTGTCAAGAAGAAGAAGAAGAAGAAACCAGAGGAGGTCATTTTGAACATATGTTCAAAGATATCTTTTATAATAAATCCATATTTATCATAAAATGAAGTTTTTATTATTTATAATTGTACAAAAATAAAATAATTAAAAATTGCATATTTGTATGAATTCCTATTAAAACAAGCTTTCAAATGATGTATCACTTGATATATCTACCTTTGCATTTGAAAAAAAAAGTTAGGGTTGGTTGCACCCTTAAAGGGTGGTTTCTTATATTTTTAAGATTTACCACAATTTACCCAGGTAAATTTATAAATTGACCTGTTTTTGGATTTTTTAAAAAAGTAAGTGGTTTTCAAAATACAGAATTTATTCCAGTTAAGGTTTCCACCCTGTATAAACAATAAAAATTAAACAGAAATACACATTTTAAAAATTCAAAAAATATGTGGCCCATGGGGGGATCGAACCCGCGACCTTCGCGTTATTAGCACGACGCTCTAACCAACTGAGCTAATGGGCCAGATACAAAAGTTTAAAAATATATCTTATTTATTTCCTTATTCTGATGCAATCACTTATTAAATTGTACGAAAATTATAATAATTATGTATATATTTATAATATTATTAAACTGTAAAATATGATAATAAAAAACATATTTAATAGCAAATAAAAGAATTAATGGCAAATTAAAACGCCAATAAAAGATTCCCATCTGGCCCATTAGCTCAGTTGGTTAGAGCGTCGTGCTAATAACGCGAAGGTCGCGGGTTCGATCCCCCCATGGGCCACATACTTTTTTTAAAATTAGTACATGGTCAGAAGTGTGATTGAATTAAAAAAAAAATGGTTGTTTAGAAATCGTGCATTAGAAACTTGTCATCGGGTGAGAAAATAAAGTCTTATGAGTCATAAGACTTTATTTTCTCACCCGATGACTTATGACTTTAATATACTTTGCCTGTTACACGGAGTATTATAAGTTATAATTTATAACAACGTCAAAAATTTGGAGAATCGATTGTCTAAAACAGCGGTTCTCAAACTGTGGTACGCGTACCACAAGTGGTACAGTGGCGGTCAAAAAATTTCGGGCAGAAATTTTCCTGTCATTTCAAGTAGATGTAGCTTAAGCTTTATTCTCACTAGTAATACCACTAGAGGTCAAATTATTTCCGGAAATTTTTTCGAGCTCATGAATATTTTGAAAATTATCCCGAGTCGAAGACGAGGGATAATTTTCTAAAAATATTCATGAGGGAGAAAAAATTTCCGGATTTAATTTGACCTCGTGTGGTATTCGGTAAGAAAATTCCACACCAAATTGTGTTTAAATAATTAAAATTTATTTTTTGATTTAACTTGACCTTGACCATGGCAACTAAGTCAACCCCAACCTAAAAGTTATTTCAGTTTTGAAGCTGTCAAGCGGCACGACGTAAAAAAATGTGAAATTGTCTGCTGTAATGATCAATCATCGTGCAATGACTTATTTACCCGCATTATTAGAGGATTGTGGCTCCTACTTGAAGAAAGAAAATTTGTTTTGAATTGTTCACGAATATTTGCATCTTAACTATTCAAGTGCTAAATGGAAAAAAAGGTGAATAGAATAGTGTCTAAATATTATATATATTTCATTAGACATAGACATTTAATTTATTTCAAGTCCTGCATTTTCGCCATTAAGAAGAAAGGAGGTGTCCAACGAATATAGAAAACATCTAAACTTTGTAATGGAAATGTATCAAAATTATCATGTAAACAAATAAAAATCAGATTGTCAAAAAAATATTCTGTCATTATAAACGTCAAAAAATTTCCAGTATAATTCGCTGTTGGGTACCCACGAGGAAAAAATTTCCACAAAAATTCAACCGTTGCCATGGTGATCTATCAAAAATACACGTTTTGATTGGTTAAAAATTACAGGTGTGGAATTTTCATTATCATTTGACGTTTTGAAATTTTAATTTTGCAAATGTCAGGTTTTATTTTAGTCAAATCTTTGCAAGCATGCCTCCAGTAAATTACTTTAATAAAGTTTTAATAATAACCCATATCCAAAATGGAATGACGCAAAGGCA